GCGGCCATCAGTGTCCTTCAGCAGCCCCGGAGTCCTTGCGGTAGCTTCAGCGGCCGCTGTGATCCTTATATCAGCTCTTGGTGGCCGTCGATGCAGCTCTGGGCCTGCTGATGTCCGCTCGGAAGTACAAAAGTGTCTAAAACTCTGCACCTCAAGTTGAGAATATTCTTTCTGTTAGTTTTGCATGCTTTTGAATTTTGAACGGAACATTGGACATTTTCTGGAAGTGTTTTGGATAGTTTAAAAGTAGTCCAAAACCATCCCTACCTTCGACCCCTCGGAGCGCACCGCACGGCTGACCAAGACACGCCGCCTGCCGCTCCCACTCTTGCCGCTTCCCAAGTCCGTTGCTGTGATGTAAAATGACCCGGTAGGGCGGGCGGTATGCTGCCGGAGGTGTATTATCACAGAGCGGTGGTACTTGCGGTTTCCCTCGGGCTCTATACTACTCGTAGATATGATAGGTGTGTTGTATATCATTACTTGAGCCGGTATGTGTCATCTAACTTGTTCTTGTAGCTATGCTGTAATATATTGTGAATGTTTTAGTGCGCGAAATGAATTCAAGTCTATCGGATGTTTACTATCGGTGCTGTGTAGTCCGTGGTTGTGGGTGATATTCTTTGTTTTTATTCTATAGACTAACCGCCAAGGCGCTTCAAGCGAATAAATTCTGGTAAGGCAGCAGTTGGAGTAGGGTCAACCACATCACCGCGCTCAACACGGTCATGGAACTGGGCTAGATGCGCGTCGAGCTTCCCGGCCTTATAAAGCTTACGAAAAGCTTTCAGCGCCGTACCGGATGCAGCTGCTGAGGCCTTATTTTCTTTCAAGAATGCTAGCGCATTTTCTTGCGCCTTCTCACCCAGGGCCAGCACCTCGCTCTTGAACACTGGAGACGCTGCATCTAGTGCGAATCCAGTCGGTAAGAAAAGCATCATGTACCCTGCGGTGTGTCTAAACTCGTACAGCGTTGCCTTTTTAACAGATCGCGCGGCATATACACAAGGCCCCGCCGTAAAACAAGCGAACCACCTGGCTGCCAGCGACTGTGCTCCCTTCTTTTTCGATCGAGCTGCTTTGACTCCAGGCTGTGGTGGTTGTGGAGGTGTTGTTGCGGAAGATGGGTCGATCGTGGTTGCTGCTTGCGTTGTCGTGCTGGCTGTCGAGCGGATCTGGTCTTCCACTGCTACCAAGCGTTGTTCCAGATGCTTGTTTTGCAGAATGAGCACGTCGATCTGCTTGGTTTGGTGCTGAACCAGTTCCAACAGTGAATTAACACGATCTTCTCTATCAGGTGGTGCCGGTTTTGGCTCAAGAGGCGGTATGAAGGCACGGCGGACGGTGATACTCCACGCTAGCAGCTCGGATTCAGTGACGGATCGAGCAGTCATTGCCTCTCGCATCTTCGTGACGTATGGGCTGCGTTCACAGAGGCGCAGCATATCAGGGTAGTGCAAGATAAGTGTGGCAGTCAGGACTTGGGCTACGTCTTCGTCAAGGTTGAGGGCTTCGTCAGCAAAACCCAGAGTGTTCGAGAATATCAGCGCCTGGCGTTGGAGTGTCCGACAAAGAACCGGTGTGTCAAGTGCTGCAAATGAAGGCAAACGAGCCCCATCCTTAGGTTTTCCACCCGCTCAAGACTCGAGATACCTGCTGACCCGCTTGTGTTGTCCCAAGCATATAGCCAAACGCTTTGCTCACGCGGTCGAGCTGCCAGCCTCCACGTTCGATGATCCAGTTTTCGGCAACGGTCCCGTCATTTGCGTGCATAGCCCCACCGCGGCGAAACGAGTGAGAGGTGAGGCCAGGGGTGAGCCGGACATTATGAAGCTTGGCATTGTCTCTAGCCCTAACCAGCAGCCTGTTAGCGTAGGCTTGGGCTCCAGGCAGTGACGCGGCTGCTGAGCTCGAAGATTCTGGCATAGAAGTGTGGTCGTCCTCTGTCTCTACAAGCTCAACGAGGGACAATTCCTCCAGATCTTGAACGCTCGTGGAGCTTCGCTTCTTTTCAAGAAACTGAGGAAACATTCGTTTGCATGGAGAGTTCTGCATCACCAGCGCTACAGCTATAACGTTGAGAGGACATGTTAGAAAATTGTTGGGATCTTTGAACAAGGACATACCCTGGAGTACTGCTGTTTTAACGCGCTTAAAGCGAAGGAATAAAACACCGCCTACATTATTAACATCTAGTTAGAGCGTATAATTGTTTGTCAGACCAATTAATGCGTACCCGGGAGGATGGACAGTTGCTGTTTCTCGACTTGTTCTGCGTCCGAACTACGACCGTACAAGTACCACATCATAACAACGAGAGCGGAATCAAGATATTCGCTCTCATTTGATGCCGTTGTGTATAGTATTCGCACAATTGCTTCTAAATCTTGTTTTGAGCACGGGGGAGCAACTCGTTCGTTACCACTTTCTTCTCGATTTGCGCAGTACCTTCCGAGTCCCGATAAAATCTTTTGTAGCTGGAGCTATACTAACCCGCTCTGTAGCGGGTATTTATCTGCCAACCATTTTTTTACGTTTCCATAATATGCAAGACATGTATTCGTAGCTAAAATTTTGTCCTGAGACCTTGCTAGTGAATATGCATACTTGTCTAACATAATACGAAGCACTTTACCCGTCTTATCAGCGTCGATGAGCTTGTGCGCGGCTGAAAGTGTCATGCCTTCGGCACCCAGAAACGTGATGAAGGAGTTCAACGCTGTCGTTCGCGCCTTCTTGCTGTTACTATTCTGTACAGAAACCCCTACTGTCAGAAACTTCAGGATATTCTTAGAATATGACTTTATATGAAAGTCAGTATCCGATAGACAATATTATTCAAATATTCCAACTAAATATGGTCAGAAACCTGCTCCTATCCAGATGCTTCTTCCATTGGTGTAAAATAAGCGTTTTGTTAACGAGGATTGGTTGAAATACGGAAAATGGTGTTAGCATGTGGCTGCATAGACAGGCGTCAATTTCAACTTCAACATCGCCAACGGTCGGTCATTCCGCGATTTGCATTCAGAAAGCAGCTCAGCAGGAGCTTTCCCCCGTTTTCTCCTCCCCGATGGCTGTCAAGCTCGTGCAGCACGAGCACGGCAAGGGCCGCGTGCGCATGCTCAAGGTGACTCGCACGCCCGAGAAGCACATGGTGATTCAGCTGGAGGCGGAAGTGCTACTGGAGGGTGCGCCCGCCGCCAGCGCCTACTACGAGGGCGACAATGGTCACGTGCTGCCCACGGACTCGGTCAAGAATACGGTGTGGGTGTTGGCAAAGAAGCACGAGTTCGCATCGCTAGAGGATTTTGGCGTCATCCTAGCGCAGCACTTCGTCACCAGGCACCCAGACATTGTACGGCGATCATTTTTAAAGTATGAATGACGCTAGTAGCGTGCTACATTCAGCTAACTGTGCCTATTGTGGACACTTTTACCAGATCAGCGTGGCCAAGGTGAAGCTCATCGAGACGCCGTGGGAGCGCGTGGTGGTGCCCGACTCAAAGGGTAAGACACGTCCGCATCATCACGCCTTTGTCAGTGCCAGTTCCGGATTCTCCACCGCCTAGTACGTCGGTCTCAATAACTTGTTGCCGAGCTGCATGTACTAACTGTCACGTGTTGCTCTTTTCCTTTCTTCCTATCCGCAGTGTGGTGGCTCGCAACTCGACGCATGGCGCCCCGGAAGTGACGGTGCAAGGCGGTGTGGATGGCCTTAAAGTGCTAAAAACCACGCAGAGTTCTTTTGTTGACTTCTTCCGTGATGCGTACACGACGCTGCCTGACGTACCCGACCGCCTCGTCAGCACGTGTGTCATGGCCACGTGGAACTACACTTCCGATGCCATCGGCGGAGACTTCATCGCCAGATCTGCGGAGATCAAGAACGTACTACTCGCGACCTTCGCAGGCCCAGCTGATGTTGGCGTGCCCAGTCCTGCTGTGCAGTTTACGCTGTACAAAATGGGCGAGGCTGTGCTGGAGAGATGCCCGTATGTTAAGGATATCAAGATCACGATGCCCAACATCCACAACAATCCCATTGACCTGTCTCGCTTTGGCTGCAAGAACATCCACCCCCACGGCGAGGTGTTCCTGCCGACAGACGAGCCACATGGCATCATATCGGCCACGGTGGTGCGATCGACGTCTAAGCTGTAGGTCGTGCGTTCTCTTTTTGTCTGACTGATTGATGTTCAGATATGGCGAGTACGCAGTGTCATTGCTATATTACACCGAAGAAGTATAAAGTAACCGGTGTGCGAAGCTCAATTGGTGTCCCGTGGTTTCTTTTACTGGGGATAGCCAGGTTATCATTGTTAACGATGAACTGTTAAAGGAAGTGTATTCCTTGAATCACTGGGTCGATAATGTCGAAGTTCCTTGCTCATTTCACAATTTCTTACCACTGAGGTAGCCGTCGGTCGCTTATTGGTGACCAAGCCCTCCTAGATCTGGATTAATGACTAAAGTGGTCGCCGAGTGCTCGTGCGAGAGTATTGATCTTGCTTTGCAGGGATGAGTAGCTGCAGGTCTCAACTAGCTGCTGCACGCGCTGTTGCATTTCCTGGAAATAAATGTCGCAAGTGTTGCACCGTTGAGCTCTGTCAAGCGTGTGCAGCAAAACACACCGAGCGTCAGACCTACCAACACATCACGACATCGACTGTGTTCCTACCGTACTTCTCCTGCGAGATTAATCGCCCGCGAACGGTACTGTCGAGCATCCCGAGCATTGTTAATACCAAAACTTAACATATTCTCGAGTGCTTGACAGCACGATGCGATCCATATTATCCACGTTGCTTAGCAAACTTTGTCTTTAACTGCATCGGTGGCAATGCAACGCGTTTCATTTCAGGCGCGCATTGTGTAAATTTTGAGCGGGGTGGATACCGTCGCCTCAGTTGTTTTGGATTTTCGACCTCTGCCGGTACGCGTGAGTTCTTCGATGCCACAGCATGACACAGTCAAACTTTGAGCTGCGTACACATAGCTCAATCGTTTTGAAACACTTCGTTTTGGTAATCCTGCACGATACTTCCGAATCGCTGAATGCACTGGACGTGTGGGAAATAGTGCACTTCAAACACTGAGCGATCGTAAGCCAGCACACGACCCGCAAACTTCACAACCTTAGGAACCGAAGGCTGCGTCAAGGATGATCCGAACAAATTTCTGGCTTGAGCAGCAGCAGGATGGGTGGTGGCCCGAGCGTACACAAGTCCTTCGTCCACAAGCAACGACATTGCCTCACGGGTATCCTGCAACGACAGCAGTTTGTTCAAATTGGTGTGAGCACGCTTTTCGGTGATACCTGGGGCCTGGAGTATCAGCGCTAGCAACTTGCGCTGGATCGAGAAGAGAAACTTGTAATTTGTTCCACCGTCCATCTTGAGCCATGGGAATGACAGTGTGTCCTTCTCCCCTTCGAAGACAACATGAGGTGTCGACAATGGAGTCGAGCTCGGCACCAGCGAGAACGGCCGCAGCATCCACACGTCTCCATGTTCCTTCACAATGTAGCGCTGATCCTTGTACGCATTAACGCAAATGAGCTCGCCCTGGTCAACAAGTGCGTCCAGACAGCGTGCTATACCCACTCGCATCTCACTATCGCTTTTTGAGCATACCTTTTCCGTCAGAAATGACAATGTCAGGCCTTCCTCCCCGCTCTCACGCACATGAGCAATGACAGCTTGACCCAGCGCTTCATCTGATTCCTTGCGATATCGCAACGGACGAGACGCGACTTCGTCCAGCGCACTTTTGTAACCAGTCTCTACCTGAGAAAACGCCTCACAAATGCTCAGCAGATCTGCGTTCTCCACACTCACAGCGTGCATCTTGGTCTCCACTCGCCAACTGTCAATGAGATCGGACGCCCTTGCGACATTCACTTTGTTGGCCAAGTGCGCAGCAAATCCAGATCTGTCCTTCAGGCTCTTGCATGTTAAGAGACTTTCCCGTTTAGTTGAACTAGGGAGCCTCTTGCCGTTCGTCTGCTGAGTCGCTAGAGCATCCGCTATCCCCTTGTCCGTATCAAAAGCCGAGGAATGCGTTGCTGCTAACGAGCACGTTCGAAGCACTTGACATCCCAATTCGAGTGCGCACTGGCCGGGCGTAGCATTCGTTGGGAAATCATCCTCAAAGAGTTGATCACTCTGCCTTACATCATTCGAGTCCCCTGCAATTTCCTCTAGTGTGGAGCTGACCATACTCTCCTGCTCCGCAGCCTGCTGAAATAACAGCAACGGGTATGACAACGTGTTTACCTTCAGTGAGTCCTGTAGTCTCTTGCTGGTGGAATATCCGCGCCCCCTTTCCTTCTCCGATGCGCGAACAATCCAGTTCTTTAACCAAAGATATCGCCAAACCAGACGAATCTCGTGTGGAGTCCAGAACGAGATCAGCTCCTCAGCAACAAGGGGGTGGTAGTCTTCTCGAGGTGACACGATCATCATCACTGCGCGTCGAAAGAGTGCTGTAAGTCTAGTCGATCCTTGTATTGCCATTTCTTCGTCAAATAAACCGCCAACGTTCTCAGCCAGCTCTGCTTCCCGCTTTGCGCTTTCGAACAGCAGCTTTACCACAGGCTCCATGAGTTTTTCTTTTAAACGTTTCTTCACGTCAATCTTCCTTTTGCCCAGTTTCCGTGCAATTGCCACCAGACCGAAACCTGTTCGAGAAATCGTGTGATTTCGGAAAGCGATTTGCTCATTCTCACGTTGCAAGCCTTGAGGTATAGTAATTCTCCACCGGCTTTTGCAGTTGTCAATAAAGTATTCCACTAAAAGCTGTTCGTGCTCGTCCGTCCAGGTGAGTGCTCCAACGTTTGACTGATCCTCATCCAAGTTGTCTGGGTGCTTCTTCCTATGCTTCCGTTTGACTCCATCGATGTCATCACCACCAGGCTGAGCCCGTCGCCTTTTGCGAGGTCGGATATTAGATGACACAATACCACTGCTTTTAAACTGCGGGGCGGTGAGTCCGTCAGCTCCGTCCTCACGTTTATCTTTCGCTACTGGTTTCCGCGATTTCGGAATCCACGCGAGGATGCGAAGCATGCGTCGAGCTCGTGTCTTAACGGGCTTAGGTACTTCACAAACAGCTGGTTCATTTCGTCTTGGGGTTTCCACTTCCATTGCCATTTGTTCCAGACAAAGACACTCAAGAGCCTCCCAGTAGCGATCAACATCGCATACCGATTCGAACGAAAACTGGAGCGGTAGCGCGTTAGAGAAGCTGTACGTCTTCTCCGTAAATCCGACAATACGGATCGAGTCGAGTTCATTCACACCACGGCGTTCTGTACCAGTTTGGAGGTCGTCGTTAGTGCCGCAGTCGTTTAGAGAAATTCTGACCTGCTTGTTAAAGCGAAAAAGTCCGCCAAGAGCGTTGTCCTTCAGCGCTCTTGAAAGCACACCGTCTCGCCCATCTGTGTACCCAGCTCGGAGGATTTTTACCAGGTGTTTCATTCCGATCTTGTGTGGTTGAACCAATCCTAAATCTGCGAGAGTGCCCAAAACTTTTGATGTACGCTGAGATTCGTGACACCAAATCTTTTCGCGGAGTGTCTCCGGCATTGCGTCGAACGTGCGCTGGTGTGCAACGGCTTCCTCAACAACAGCAAACTCAGCGTCTGTCAAAATTCCTCCACCCGAGAAGATTTGAATGTATAAGTACACAGGCATCGAGTGCAACACTGATTCGCGCGAAAACACAATTCCTGGTAGTGGTGTAGCTTGGCTTCCCGAAGCAGAGCGTTCGCCTCTATCGTCTTCGTTCAAGCTCTGAATCGATACGTCATTTCCATCACCAGGCAGCTGGAGGTTCGACCCGTTTGCATGCAGAGCATTCCACAAAAAGCGATGTAGAATTTTACATCGATACATGACGCCATAAGCGAATCCGAGTTTCCTGAATTGCTGGTTGTGAATTCCCGATTTCTGTTGGCTCACAAAGCGTCGAATCTTGTAGCTAATTTCGTTTCGTTGGGGCAAAGCTGGAACGCTTACCTCTGCCTCGATGTCAGAAGCATGGCGGATTGTTTCGATATTAGTAACCGGTACGCCATCTGAAGCCGATATCAAGTTCTTGGTCTCATTAGCGTTTGCGCTACCTTTCTTTGACTCCGTTCGCGGCCTCTTTCGAGCTGATCCGTGCTCCACTTTTTCATTATTCTCAGCCTCAATTTTGTGAAAACGAACCACTTCGCTCTGATCAGCATTACGATGAATACGCCGCAAGCGTTCATCGCGACAGTAGTTTTTGACAAATCCTTGAATGAAAACGTCGTTGTGCTCATACCCAGGTGCGACCACACAGCGGAGCGCACGGAACTTGGTTGAAACATTACGTGCAGGCAACGGAAGCTGCAATAACCGCAACTTCCTGGAGCCTTCCAGTTCAGTTGCAATGCGGAAAATCGACCGCGTGTCCACTTTCCCCACTGCGACAGGCGACATCAAGCAATTCACATTGGTGTAAGTCGTGGTTTCGCCATCTGCGCGCTGCTTCTCCATACTAAAAACGCTGTCACGCAGCGACGACAGACTAATGATCTTTTCGTCCTCAAGTCGCTCTAAAATATGTTCACGACGTCGAGCACTCGTACCATCCACTTCTGCCCCACCAAGAGCCACTTTCAATGCCTTATTCGCCCGAACTGTGTATTGTCGTTCCACCTTAACTCCAGTCACTGTTACGTCG